AAAAAAAAATATAGTTATTTGTAAGTGGTCCATGACAGGTTCAGTAGTTATCTGAGATCTCACCGCCAAGTCTGACATAGATATTTATCAACGAATTCGACAAAATCGTGCGAGTGTCGAAAATTCGACGCGGCTTTGAACCCGGACCTCCCAAGACGAGTAATATTTCACCCTATGCGCCATCCGCCCAGCCCCGCCCTACCAGCTCATTAAGAAACTAATACACATCAATCTTTCACACATACCAATATACCCATAAAAACATTACATTGAAAATTGACAATTTTTTTAGTAAATAAGATAGGCTCGTGACAATAAAATTTATAAACATTTTATTCTTTTGATACTTATAATAAAAATATAGTTATATGTAGTCAATTTTATGCGGACTGCGCTATAATTTTCAAATGTAAATAATTTTCATAATTTAATGTTACCTTGTAGTTGACATTAAATTACCTTGTAATTCAATAAACAAATGAGATGCATTTTATTCGTGCATTTATCAAATTTTATTATAATAGGTATATCTGGTAATAATATGTTAGTTAATTTTTTGCGTCAAGAGTTATGTTCTTATTATAAGTGAAATAGGATTACTACAGGATGACACGCGGTCATTTGTCATCTCGTCACTCATACGTCAGCGCCGTTACGCCCTTCGCCATAATCGCACCTTGAAAAGCAGACAATCGCATTAAACCTGCATTGCGAAATTAACGAATAATTTATTATACCTTAAGTACTATATTAGGTTAAAATATACATATTTATCCAAAATTTCGTTAATGTGAATCAACGAATAAAACGTTACTTATATCTCATCAAATTTTGAGTATTTTTATAAAATAATCATGAGCTTATGGGAACGAGCATTATTTTTCGAATGTATGCATATAATATTTAATTAGATGTAATGACGCATTGGACAGAGACTAACAAATCTAAGTGTTATGTTTCAAACGCATCGGATGCGAGGCGACAAGTCGTGACCAAGTCGCACGTCAGATGCTGCATACCCATCTGTCACAGAGTAAACCCATAACATAAATATGACACTGAAATTTTAACCGCACGTACAGAAATTGATGTATTTCAAAATAAAGAGATACATTTAATTATATGTTGCCATTGTTAAAAATATTGAGTTGGCAATATTATTTGTTCACTAGTACCTAAATAATAATATTTATTATAATATAGATATAACGACATAAATTATAATTATATACAATATACATGTATGTACAAATATCCTATTAGATGTAATCGCCCCTAGGTACGTGCTCGTGGCCGTAAAATTAGCTGTAAGTGGAGCCATTATTGATATGAAATATTCATTGGATACCAGCTCGGATTGTTGTCACTTAAATAATGCAGAACTCAACCAGGCCGCACTGTTACTGTTGCCACTCATTTTGCTAATTTGAACTAATGTGAATTGGTAACGTGATAACTTAAAAGATGAATAGAAATTTTAAATTATATAATTTAACTTCAGTGAAAATTATTTTGTTTTATAATAATTGCCAGAAAGGTGCATAGAATCATTCTATCCATTATACATTTTCAATTTAAGTTATCAAATTTTACGTGTACCTACCTAATAGAAATAAAATACAAATTTATTTTTATAGATAATTAATTTATTATTACATCACAGTGTTATAAAACGATTATTAGAATTAATCATTATAAGTTGTAAATTAATTTATATCAAATCATCATTAATGATTCGACACTATTACCTCAAGTGCGTTAATGAGCAAAATATGCGCGCGCCATCTGTCGCTAATCAACGAATAGAGTTAATTAAATCGCTCGCAATATGGCGGCGTATAATTGCTAATAATAAAGCGCTTTCCTGTATAATTAGAAGCGCGCTGATTGGCTACTCGGCCCTATCACGACGTGATAACATTGCGTTAACACACTTCCTATTCAACAATAATCATCTCTGATAAAATTAATATCACTATCTATACATATAATAAAATTATATGAAGCCGAATCTGTACATTAAATATTTTTTGGAAAATCTTATTGAAATAAACATTATTATCGATACAGAAGCCGAATCTATAGTTTTTAGAATTTTTGTCTGTCTGTCTGTCTGCTACCGCATCACAGAAAAACCACTGGAGGGATTTTGATGAAATTTGGTATGGTGATAGCTGGTTATCTGGGTCAACATTTAGGATACTTTTTACCGCGGGAAAATATCTCATTTCTGAGAAAAAATACAAAAACCGCATTGTAAGAGTATACTAATATGTAAAACCTAAGAATTTGCTTTTTGGTCATCTGAACGCGGCCGGAGCCGCGGGCAATGCTAGTTTTGCTATATAAGTTGCATTTTTATATAAAAAAAAATGAAAGTGATTATGAATCAATGGCGCTAAGTAAATAATATAAATATATTATAAAAACATCTAAGTATACCAATTAAATACCAAATTTAAATTTAAATAAGAAACTCGGAACTTTAACAAATGGGTTGTTCTAATAAAAGAATTATGACAGGGATTCATGGTCGAAAGATATGCAATAGTGCGTTGTAGAGATGCATCAAACCGACGCGCGGGGAAACAATGATTGACGAGTTTGCACCTCGCCCGCCTCTAATTAAGACGATGTGCGTAATGTTCACTGTTGTTCTTTATGTAAATTTACTTTATGACTATTTTAATTTAAACTTAAGAATTCTTTACTCAATATATTATTATAAGTAATTATATAAGTTAAAGGGTAATTCGTTTCAAATGTAAGCTAATTTTCATATATAAAATTATTTCATATAAATGATTTGCGTATATTAATTATAATTATTAATAAACACATTTTAAAAGATATTAATACTAGATAATACTAGCTTAATAGTTTATACATTTACTCAATTCTTAGGAATCTACTTTAACAATGTCATAATAATAACGAGCCGTTGTAAAACGATCGCACCTTATTTCTGTCTTCGGTATCTGCTCATTAAAACTGGTGTACACGTCTCTTAATCCTTTTGCTCTCGCTCGCTTTTCCGCTAACTTTTGGGTGGTACAATGATGAACGACGTCGGTGGTAATATATCATTGCGGCAATATATATCGGTTTGCGTCGAGTGTCGCCATTAACGCATGCGTGCTATTGCCCGAGCGCGCTCTTGCACTATCATGAATGCTATAAGGAGCGTCTCACAAATCGACGCGCGCGACCACGGCTAAAGGTGCATAAATCTTATTAATAGTATACTTATTTTCTTTTCTCCCTGGATTCTTGTAAAAGCGTTAGATCGTTTGCTGCTAATGATGGCTTGCCTTTGTTACACACCTCACGTTTACTACCCAAGCTATGACCGTGAAATATAAAGATATCAATAGAAATCATAAACCAATCACAAGTATTGTAAATTATAAAATGGGCAATCATGTCCGCTTGGGTGGCCGATTCGTAATTGATAGGCAAGCGCATAGTAGAGAGATTACCAGGTCACAAGGTACTCTATTGACGTTTTCCAGTCTCGAAGACGAGATTGTCAATTACTTTTACGAATCACTGCAAGCAGTAGGTAGGTACTAACAAAAAATGATCGCTTCGAGTTTATGCTTCTCAGCTTACATTAAAGATTTGTTGTTTCCGTTCTCGCCGCCTCAATGACTACCATTTTATGTCGATTTGGAGATAGTGTTACACGCGCTCGCTACCGACGCAAGTTTTTGTGACACTTCTTTATTCATACAACGAGTTTACTATCTTTGATCAGTTTTTATAACATTTAAATTTAGATGTTCTGTTCTTTATTAGTGATTATTAATTTAAAATTAGATTTTAGCCGTAAAAAAACTTACAGTATAATAACATAGAAGAAACCATAATATCATGGAAGAGGGTAACAAGATCCATTACTTTAGCCAACCATAAGCAATTTATGTAACAGTAAACAAACTACGCCTACATAAAAATGTCTCTCCATTCATCTTTCTGCAACAGGAGACATTTAAGAATGCCCCTATCCAAAAGGGGAAGGGGAAGTTAAAACATAGACGTTATAAAAAGTCGTACATTTGTAATAGAACAGAGCATTTCCTACATATGTATGTATTTAGTTTTAAGAAACAGTCATGTCGTTATTTATGATTTAAAGACTTAGAAGATAATAACTACTTTATATTTTAATTGTACTTTCTCTGTTTAAACATCTATGAACTTCATAAATATTCTATGTATAAAGCTTTTTATGATATTTATAAACGTTGTAAGCAAATAATTTTAGAACTGTCTAAAATTAAAATTATACAAAATATACGTATGAAATATAAATTTTTAATTAAATAAAAGAAGTTTAAAGGGATTTCTTAGGTAAAAAAAAAGAAATATGAACATAATATCTACATATTAAAATGTAAAAATAATTAGTTGCGATAATTTGCGATAATATACGTTCTAATGAGCGAAAGACGATTGGTGCCGGCTTCAGCAAGCGATAATTTCAACTCATGCAAGTAATTGTCGAATAATTGCGTTAATGTGAAAATACACGCTTTAACAAAACAATGGTATAAGGAAGACGATAAAAAAGTATGTAGGCACAAATATTGTTTTTATTTACGTTAATGAAAGCTTTAATAATGTAGCATGTTATATGTTTACCGGAAATAATAAATAGCTATGTGTTAAAATGTTTATTTATTTATGCATTAATAAAGACAAATTTATCTTTTGATTTACATATATGTGTTTATATGTAATTGAAGTTATTAGAAATAATGCGCTAAAACTTCTAAACTAAATATGTTAAAATTATATAATCTGCTGAAAGTTAAGACTCATCTAGAGCTTATATACATGAGAAAAAAACTTAATATTAAAATGAATGGTTAAATCACAAAAGAGTTTTACTCTAAATCTACTCCAAAACATTATCTATAATATATTTTAAAATTATGTTTAAATGGCTAATTATAGGACAAGATGTAGTGAATATAAAGAAAAAAATAATTCAACAGACGCATGTTCCCGACGGTGCGCGTATCATTCGCTGGGTGCCGGGCGGAGGCGCGCTACGCGGTACTTCTAGACGTGGTTCCGGTGGACGGCAAGCGTTATCGCTACGCTTACCATCGCTCATCGTGGCTGGTAGCGGGCAAGGCGGACCCTCCCGCGCCTGCTCGACTATATCCACACCCAGACTCTCCTTTCTCCGGTGACCAGCTTCGCAAACAAGTCGTATCCTTCGAAAAAGTTAAGCTTACCAACAACGAGATGGATAAAAATGGACAGGTGATTTATTAATCTGTTAATTCATTTAAATTTCATATCGATTATAGTACATATTTAGTTTAAAAAGTTAGTAGACATTTTTAGTTTTTCGAATTTAAGTAGGTTCTCTAAGTACATAAAATAATGATTTCTTATGTAGATCATTTAATATATCTTATTTATTTTTATCCACAGTTGGTGTTAAACTCAATGCACAAATATCAGCCTCGTATCCACTTAGTATTGCGACGGGACGGTGCTATAAACGCCCCCATAACCGATCTGGAACAAGAAGAGTTCAAGACGTTCATATTCCCTGAATGTGTGTTCACTGCAGTTACAGCTTACCAGAACCAGCTTGTGAGTATATTTTATTTGGCTGTATAACTGTCACATTTATGTTATTTTAAAAGATATCTAGGATAGCTTGATTAATCGAAACTGTCTTTTGTTTTTATATTTTTTATTCATTTACTTATCTACTTATTAAATAATGAGCTTCGTTTTACTGAATTAACACTGTGATTTCAATATTTTTTTATGCCATCATAACTTTTATGTTAGGTATATGAAGGTCTCTAAGATCGAATATATAGTTTAATTAAAAAACATAAGTTTGTTGTTAATGTTTAACACAATCTAGAGAACAACATAATCTTCAAGATATTTTAATACGACAACCATAAAACAAAATAAGTATGACGTATATATGTGAAGAGGGAGAACTTGCTAGTCTGTACTATAATAAAGCATAACTTACCGGAATCTGTACATGAATTTTTTTTTTTTAAATAATGACTGTAACGTATTATGTATAATATATCCCCAAAAAAATAGTTATTAAATTTTTTGTCTGTTTGTGTGTCCGCGTTTTACGCAAAAAGTGATGAACCAATTTCAACGTTTGGTGATGTGATAACTTATTACTCGGGTCAACATTTAGGATACCTTTTAGTACAGGCAAAATTTTTCATTCCCACGGAAAAACACAATAAGTGGTTCTATCGAGTCGTCTTTAGATAATATGGCTAACGCTGGCTAAATCTTAAGATATACATCAAAACAATGTACTTACTAGAAAAATGTGGATCTTTAAAAGGTCTATAGAAAAGTCTGTAATAGTATATAGGTATATCTATCTCCTAAGGAACACTCGCAATAAATATTTATTATATTAGAGGCAATGGCGCGACTCACTAACTGACTTATCAACGTTCAGCCCAAGCCGATGATGATAGACCAGCACCACTAAAAAGCCAGCTTTATAGGTATATCCATACTAATAATTAATAATTACCTACTTTTCTATACCTATGTATGTGCATTGTTCATATGTATATATTGTTTATTTTATACTTACTTTTAAAACGTACCTAGGGACGAAACAGAGCGAAGTGAGGGTAAATCGCTAGTTGTAAATAAATCTACTTTTTTATTTAATCATATGTTGGATATCATTCGATTTCTAAAATAGATCACAGGAGCAAACGTTTGAAATCGCAGCGCGTTGTCTAACTATCGACGTTCTATATCTGGCGTACTAATTGCATTTCGCTGAAAGGTATGTCCAGTTTGAACAAAGGAAGGTGTCACGTAATTTTTTTGTATCAAGCGGCCACCTCGGGAGACGTCGATGAGAGACGGACAGTCACGCTGACGATTAAAGTTTTCACCGTGCTAAATATAACAACAACAGCATTTAGAGTCTAAATCTTAGACTAAACTGATATGTGAAAAACCAAATAATTTGTTCATAAACTTTTAAAGTGTATAATATTAAGCTTCCTTTAACTAATAGATGATAGTTATATTTATTAGAAGATATTATTTACTAGCTGTTAATATCTTCTAATAAATATACCCATCATATTGTATAATATATTATCCAAGAATACATCATTAATATGAAGGACTATTTCTGGATTTGTTTGTATCGTAGTTATTTATAATGCTTACTATAAAAATATTTGAAATTTTCTAAAAATAAAAGTGTTTTGAATGACTTTTAAAACTTGTAAGAAATTTATAAATATTGTTTTTCATATCTTCCTATTGCTTGTGTATTGTATCTTACCAATTTAAACACTTAGGTATATGATAGTTTTTTTCCAATTCCGGTAACTGTACAATGTACTACATACATATTTTTCTCGCCGCATATCTAGAATACGTAAAATTACTAAGTCTAAAAAAGACGTGTAAAATTGCAACGCTATTTTAATTACAACCAAATTAGCATACGCGCTAACCGCTCCGCTTATGCGCGCTGTAAGCCCGCCCGTGGCCGCACGCTACATGTGTCGCCACGAGCAATTAATTCCCTGTCACAAGAGCGTTTGGGCGTCACAATTTCTCGTTTTGTTTTCTCCCGCGCAGTAATTAGGACGTTTTGAGGTTCATAAAGGAAGCGTTACTTTATATCGACAACGCGGTACATAAATCTTCATTCGCCCGTTAATTAGCTTTTGCGCTTCGTCTTTCTTAAATATGGTTTTTATGTTATGTTTGGACTACTTGTAAATTATTATACGTATTACTCATTAACATTTACAATTTGTTATTTTTAAACAAATATTTCGAATAAACAAGCTTATAATCTTTAGCTTTGTCATAGCGAATAGTTTGCGTTTACAGAATGGCTTCGCCTACGCAATTTAACACAGGAATGACTCCCCAGTGCCATGTTATTGATATCTATTGATTCTAACGTACCACTAGATTTACAGCTAACGCCTATTGATAGAACTGTGTAAATAAATCATCCTTCAACTGAAATCAGGAACTGTATATTAATATTTTGTCAGTAGATTTGATATAAGGCTTTCCGTTTATGAAATATTAAGTATACAAATAATTTATTACAAAAAATATATTTAATATATCATATATGTGTACAAAAGAAAAATTAAAAAATAACTTACTACTTTAAAATGTTAAAACGTATCGACTCTTTGATCACGACAAGGCGCGGGCGCAGCTTCGTTTCGGCTGACGTCACATTTCTGACAGCTTAAACATTTGTCGAACGAAGAGATAGTGTCACAGATAACCCAATCCCTTATAACAATAAGAGCACACTTAGCGTGTTTGCACCTGCGCCGGTCGATATGTCTAATATATATGTATACAAAATTAAAAGACATACCAATATTTATGTGACTTAATCTTTAGTATTGTAATTATTATAGATATTAATTAATGTAAATAAAAACATATTGTCATTTATATCTTTATTTCCCAAACAAATTAATTTACATTAATCGTATTCTTAAAATTTGGGAAATATTTTTCGCCAGCGGCTAATGAAATATTGCATACGTTGCAGATTCCTATTGGAGAAAAAAAATAAAAATCGATACCCTATAGTGTAAGATGTGTTTGATGTGATATTTATTACACTACTACATATTTGAGTTTTGTAAATCACTGCTTCTTCTGATGCAGCAATTATTATTTTACATTAAGAAATTTATCACTCAAGCCAATATTTTGTATTGTTCAGAATTTTTCTCTAAATATATTTCTTAAAAAATTAAAATGTAAAGCAATGCTCACACTAACATTACGTTAGCAAAGCTACTTAAAAGTACTGTCGTGTATTCTTATCAATTATTTTTTATTAAATCAGAATATTTCGTCATAAAAATATTCGTATAAGACAAACATTGTAAAATCTAACAAATAGTGTCACATAATTTATTCACACTATAAAATCGATTCAAATGTAACATCATTATTGGTGCTTTATCATACGGTAACGTTGATATGAGACGAGATAAAATCGTAAAGAAAAAATGTTAAGTGTAATTTTTTGTGCATTCGCCGTGAGACTCCTCGTCGCCGAGGACGCGCGCCGCGGGGTGGTTTCCCGGGAAAGTCTGCTTTAATATTTAACATTTTACACCCACCACACTGTTGTTCCTTTTGTGAACAAGCCTTTGTCTGGCATCCACCTCGGAGTGAGGTGACAATGTTTGGAAGAGTTTATGCATCCTCCACACACAATGCGTTTTTTAATAGCCGATGACTAGTGAATTTGTTATGATCGATTGCTTTCTTAGAGAATGATTAAAAAAATCTCGCGGATGGCAACCTGCCGTGTCGAATTCAGTGCTTAAACATGTTTATCCATTTAAATAAATAAATAAACTTTAAGCCTATTATCTATTTTATATTTGTTTACATAACTTCATATTATTTTTTGTGCAAGTAATCACTGAAGAGAGTTGAAAGTATACTCAAGGCAACGATTATGGACATTAAGCCACTATTTTCGTTAGTTATGCGTTAAGGTCATTACATATCTTGAGAAGATAATCACGGAAATAACTGCGTCGGTCAGGCAAGCGTAGATGCGTAAACACGCTCAATGGCTACTTAATTGAAATTTATTTCTCATTTCTCAGTATCAACAATCAATATTCTAAAATCTTCAATCCGAGGCTATTCTCACATTGAGTCCACAAACGAGTTCTACTCAGACATAATCGAACAATATAAAGAAGGAGTAAAGGCAAACACAATTTCAATAACAAAGGGCAGCCATGACAAATAAACATATTTCACGGGCCAAAATGGCTGCGGTCAGGTGTCACGAGTGTCTCTCCCCCGCGCCGCGCTCCTCATTCCTTTTTCTCTCCAAATAATCGATTCATTCTTATGAATACGATCCTTTATATTTGTCAACGTGTTGTTATTAATATTTTTTGATTATATCGTATAAGACTAATGACGAAACTATGGATTATTCTATCTATTCTTTATTCCTACCCAACGGTCACGTTAAACGTGCTGGGTGCGCTTTATTTCTACAAAAAATAAGTTAATATTAATTGATAGACCACAAACAAAAAAATATATTAAATATCATTGAATAATAAGCAGTAATGCAATAGTAATAGGTATAAGTCGCAAATACAAGAAGTCAACGGACTTGCTTATAAGAGGATTTAAAATAATTTAACTTTAAATTATTTACTGATGTTTCGTCTCACTCCCTCTGGTATGTAGAAGTGAGGGTGGTAATGCGTGATCTCCTTCTTACTCGCCATCGATCACGCAAGGTGTGACGTCACGCAGAGCCGTCGTGTGCGGCCCGTTTGAATTTATTGCGTCTGCGCACCCAGCCACTTAAAATGATGTACTCCTAATAAGCTAGAGACTTCTTTAACCTAGTACAAATAAGTAAAGCTAAGAAGAAGAAGAAAAATACACTACAATGCCTTATGAAAGTTTTCGTGCAAAAGCTGCGTTAAAAGTTATTTCTAGAATATGGTTTAGAAATAAAACTTTCTGGTACCTAGTAAATGACAAGTAAATACCTACTTACTAGATATACTTAAATGTTTAAACATTATCTATATTTATAATGTGTATAATTTATAACCTAATAGTATTTTCAGTAGAATCAAGTAAGCTTTAAGCACAAAATTTATTACTCATAATTGTATTCTTTTATTTATTCTAATTGCTTAGTCTATGAATTAAATGTAATTAAATATATTTTTTTAAATAACGTTAAAATCGAATTTTCTAAGAGTAAGAATTTTTTTTTTGTACAAAAATAAGTTAGTAGACTCTATTAAATTCATTTAAAATGATAGTTGTTTGTGTAATATTTAAAGATTATGGAAAAATCACTTATATATATTATACTTAGATGAATTGATGTTTAATTTATGACTTTTGAAAATCATTTCATAATCTGTAACTATATTAAAACAATATTATATCAGAATGACATTTACATAAAATATATATGACATATAAATATTTATTTATCTCTGTTATTTATTTATCAAGCCATTACAAGTAAAAATATAATTACTAATAAATTTTATTTATATAATTCAGAAAAGCATATAAGCATTGAAATGTGGCAGTTAGCCTACTCATTAATCTTTAGAATTTACAGTCGTGATTACGGACATGAATGTAAAGTGGACCTTATACTGACTATAGGCCCTTTGAAAGATCTTATAGCCCGTGTTAGAGAAACACCCGATGTTCGCGCGTAATAACTAAAATTGTGAATATCCTGAGAGCAAATATTTTCAAATTTAAAAGACAAAAATATTCCAGTGTGCCTACGAAAATGAACGTACATAGCTTGCTTGTAAAAATTATGTGGCTGGGGAGAATCGTTTTGAAAATTGCTACTGAAGTAGCTGAACATCTTTATAATTTACATACGATATCATTAATTTTTTCTATAGGAACAATTACTGAAAGCTTACAACTAATTGAGCTATTAGATGAAGAAGAAAGTTTATTATGATTATTTAGAACTAATAATAATAATAATTTTTGTAAGAATCAAATTAAAATCATTATAGTTCTTCATTTATTCTAATATTTAACTTTTATTTATGTAATGATTTAAATTTTATAAGAGTAAATAGTAATTTTAGAGGTAAGCGCGTTCAGATTACCAAAAACCAAATTCTTAGGTTTTACATATTAGTATACTCTTACAATGCAGTTTCTGTATTTTTTCTCTAAAATAAGATATTTTCCTAAGAAAAAGTATCCTACATGTTGACCCGGATAACCAGCTATCACCATACTAAATTTCATGAAAATCCCTCCAGTGGTTTTTCCATGATGCGGTAACAGACAAACAGACAGACAGACACAGATAGACAGACAAAAATTTTAAAAACTATAGATTCGGCCTCTATATCGATAATAATGTCTTCTTATGTTTAATAAGATTTTCCAAAAAATATTTAATGTACAGATTCGGCTTAGTTACAATTTTATTATATGTATAGAATATAAAAGATAAACGAAGAAAAATATGTACTTACTGTATTAATACTAGTAAATTATGTAACTTGGTTTCACCTACTTATCGATACCACATGCATCGGCCATAATTTCGGAACACTTGCAAAATAATAAAGCATCGGTATTCTCGAAAACGTCGTTTACAACTCCCGCAGCTGTTGGTCGTTTTAAATTTATTGTCTTAGCGCAGTTCCTTCAACCACTGAGAGGTGGAATGTGGGTAGAATGATCTACAATATTTTAAAGATTGCAATCATAAATAAGATTTTAATTACCATACAAAAATATACACATATTAAGTAGCTTAGTATGTAAAATTTTACTAAAATTCGATATAATCTCTAATCTATAAATGTATAGATTTTTAAAAGAAAAACTAATTATTGCGCTTAATTAAAAAAATAACTTTGAAAAAGTCACTGTCGAAAAAGGTAAATCTTAAACTAAAAAACTCATGTAGTACATGTATCATTCGCAGCTCTATATCAGTCAATACAACTATAAGGCAAGCGCACGCTGTAACGTGACATTTATTTATTCCTCAGAATGTCTCTGTCATGTCCTCTTTCTCGTCCTGCCTTGTTTACACGACTGATTCTCTATTTTTCATTTAAAATAAGCTTATAGATTGTATGCATTATTGTATTTAGCGTGGTTATAAAAAAATGTTGATTTATGAGTATATTACTGAATTAAGTATATGTTGATATATTACTTAACTAAGTAACGCGCTGGCTTGAGAAAACAAGTGATATGGGTTCAAATCTTCTCTCTCAAAATCATCATCAAATCTATTTCTTATGTGCAAATTAATCACGATTTCCATTTGCCTTATGGCGAAGGAAAATATCGTGAGGAAACCTGCATGTATGTATGAGAGAATTTAGCAAGTTTTCGCAAGACATGTTAAGACCGCTAACCCGCACTTGACCAATGTTGTAGACTATGGCCTGATCCCCTTCTGAGCAGTGGGATGTTAGAAAGGTTTGAATACATACAGACACGCCTTCGTTTTTTTTATTAATTAATACTTATTTATGGTATTAATATTATAAATTATATATGCATTGTTTTTCTAGTACAAAAACAAATACTCCAACCCAGTAATTTCTTTTTCTTGACGCTTTTTTAAGAGTTTTTGTTCCACGCCAGGGAATAATGTCATTATGGCGCCTTTAATGTTGTCAGTGAGCGAGAGAGGCGCGCCGCCCAGGGCGAGCGTTTGTTGATACTTAAATTAGGTTGTTTTGACACGCCTCGTCCTTATGTTTGTACTAAATCTAATAAACGTCTATAACGTGAAAGCGATTCATTCATTATTCACCGCTCTACGTTAGGTAACTAGTACTACACCTTGTAATCTCCTCTGATAACAGTTTGTACTGTTTACTAGAAATAGGTGTCTTGTGGTCTACCTAGTGTAGAGACATTGGCGCATTCTGCAAGAATTCATTGCTAAATTCTCTCTTATTGAGCTACGATTATATGTAATATAATTTATCTACCTACTCATCGTAATCAAAGAGATAGGTAAGTTTGTTCAGTTTACCTGCTGGAAGCTGAATATTAAATAGAAAGCTTTAAATAATTAAAACCGAATATGTTTAAACGGTAATTTGAAAAAACAATGTAAAAAACGTACACTGCCAAACTTAAATTCTTAACATCTATTAATATATGTCATTATGTTAAGCTACTTGTTCGTAAGCGCACTTATTACGTGGAGCAAACGCAAGCATCGCTATTGTAGTCAATGCCTTGCCAGGTGGGCGTACAATTGTAAGTAGCTAGGTGACCCTCGACACCTAATCCTTGGTACTTGTTCAGTTTGAGAGGCGAAAAAAACATGTTCTCTCGGACGTGCATCTACGATATGAGACCTCATTGTGTCACTTAAATCATATTCATTTCTATATGACAACGCATTAATTATAAGTGAATTTCTTACTGGAATGAAACTTAACGCAATATAATATTACTGCATGCGAAAGTTAAGCCATACTATTTTTGTCATCGTTACTTCTATAAAGTTGTAAACTAATAAAACGTGTGACATATATCGGTCAATATATTGTAATGTTTATTGTTTCTTTTGATCTAGGACAATACTATGTGACTTTATCAAGACGGTTTTTAGATTAACGCCCTACCGTGGCAGAAGATCAAACAAATTCATAAACATTTTTAAACACAATCTGCCTAAGCGGTTAATCGCTGTCGCTTAAAATATTTTCGTGTTCAAAAAATTCTCGGTGGAGATTGGTAATATGACAATACGCTATACATATTCGTCGAGTTCATCGTCCTAAATTACCTGTCTAGTGCGAACATGTCAAAATACCATGCAATTAACTCTTGTGTAGGTAGGTGAGTCAGGTGGACCACTTGTGCTCTTTGTGACATTTGCAGCGCTGTAGCACTTTAGCAAAGAGGCCAATAAAACGTATGAGACGAGGCTACGGCGCTCGCATCGGCTAGAATAGCTCAGCAGCTTTGCATAGTGCGGGATCACTCGGCAGATAATTACTGGCGCGTCGCCGACCGCCACTACACGAATTGCTGAAAGATTGACATGAGCTCGATAGCTCCCCGATGACTTGTTTATTGCGAATACCATACTGCCGAATTCACACTTCGCCAATTGACTTGGCAATATAATAGGACATTTAAAAGAATTTGTTTGTAAATTAATTATAGCTGTGGAAACATACAAACAACAAGAATCATTCTCATGTAGGTATATAGAAATGCTTTGAATTCCTTTAAAAGACTAATCAAATATATTATAATTTATACCTATTCATTCTAGTAGTTAACTTATTAAATACTCGTCGATCTTTGCTCTATCGAAACATTTACTATAATTCTGGATATTAGCCGATTAAGTGGCATTGAATGGCATCAGGTTTGCGGGAGATTTGTCGTAAATATTATATACAAATTGTATGGAACCCCAGCGGGAGCGCACGCGCAGCGAGGGGGCGATTTCTCATCACAGTACTTGGCCTCTGCCAAACACATTTTTTAACACCTCCAACTGTACCTAAATCAACAGAGTATTTTATGAGTGCATCGACTTAATTCTGCTTGTTTTCTGAGAAAATTTAACAAGATCTACTTTGTGTACGACAGACGTACATAAATATGCACTCTTTTTATTTTATAAATAGTAATCAATACAAATTTATTTCCCTCATTGTATTGTAAAATATAAAAAGATTTCTTTTCATTAAGTGACAAATCATAAATTGTAATGATAACTTACATTAATTTTATTAGGTTTAATAAATTATATAAAGCACAATTTTAGAAGTTGAAACATTTTATCGACGTAGTATATTTAACTAGCGATTCAGTCTCTTTAAAACCAATATTTATAAGGCCACTTAATATTTTATAACTGTTGTAACTTTATCAAACGTTTATATATCGTTTATTGCTAAATACTTTATACGGATAAATAACGCTACACGTCTTTTGTTACAGATCACCAAACTCAAAATCGACAGTAATCCGTTTGCTAAAGGATTTCGAGATTCTTCACGTCTCACTGAGTTCGAAAGGTAAATATTATTCTCGTCTTAAAATTCAAAACTAAAACTTGAAATATAATATATTACTACATATAATATGTAATATATTTAATATCTATAATTGATTATAGTCTATGGACTATGTCGCCCTGCCCTCTCTGTGGCTCGTCATGCTGTCGGATATACATATCGTAAAATATATAAGTTAATAAAATACAATTTAAAACAATAAATTAAAACATTGGTCTCATTTCACACGAAAATAAGATAATATAAGTGTAAATAATGAAATGCGAACATGCGTTATAATCACTAGCCATTCTCTCGGCCGGGAGCATTCATTAGTTCTCATTACGCGTATGACAGAATTTGATATCAGTTCTATGATCGAGCATTAGACACGCTCTTAGAAACAAACGCCACGACACTGATTGATACTTGCGCCTACTCAATTACAACTCAATATCTAGCTAATCGAATCGAGATAAATGTAGGCCGACTTTGCATTTGCCCGATGATTTATAATTTGCTTAGCATTTCTCTTAGCACAACTCGCATGCTTGAATACGCCTTAGATTTCCTTTAGAGTTAGTCTAATTAAGTTTCAGTTACGTTTGTTTTATTTTGAATTTGTTTCTTTTTGAGATTCTATATCACGGGGGAGCACGAAAGAACAATCTTCCCTGATGACGCGCGCTTCAGTACCGCCAATTCTAGGTAGATACAATAACATTAAGATACCAACGCGATAGAAGAATGCGACCAATGTTTAATTAATATCCTGCCTTTTCAGGGAAACAATGGAGTCGATGCTCGCGGAGCAACATTACTTGAGATCTCCCCTGCGGCCATTCGACTTAGATCAGCACAATAATAACTTGACTCTAGAAGAGAAAGCGATATTGGCCGCTCGATCACAGCTATTTCTACGCGCTGCATATCCATTATACGGGGTTCCGGCAGCGGCTTTATGGGGCCAGTGGGCGTGCTTAGCACCGCAACTGCTAGCGCAACAGCATTTGGCATCGGGATCAGGGCTGCAGCTACCACGACCAGTGTATCCAGGAGGAGTCCCACTTTCCCAGCACAGGTTCTCGCCGTACCCGCGGCGCGCCAGCCCAGGGTCTTCCCCAGACTCGCTGCGGGACGCGAGTCCTCACTCGCTGCCTCCCCCGCACCCCCCGCACACACCACACACCCCCCACCCGCCGAGCCCCACTTAGTGCATTCTCTGAAGTTATCGCGCATGCACGTGTCAGGCTTAATTATTTTTCAAAGCTATTTTGGCGACGCTGTGATTGTACTGTATTATTTATAGTGTATTCTTATTTCATTAAAAACGTCTTATGTTTTATATCGAAGTGAATAAATAAACAGTGTTATGAACGATATATAAAACAGTGTTGTCAATGATTGTATTATATTGTAAAATAAAATATTTAAATATAATTTAAGACTGTAATTATTGTTACAATAGAGTTATATTACTATGTTCCTAATTTTATCTTTTAGGTGGTTTCATCATTTAAATAAATAAAGTTTTAACGTTAACAATTATATTGACATATCTGGTGTTTCTTCATTTTCAATTAGTTGCCAGAATCATTTTGATTAGGTGAATGTGCAATACAAAAGAAAACATAATTCTAGCAAACTAGCTGTTTGTAGTAAGATAGATGTTAATTACACTGTAGATATATTTGCTGTTTGTGTTAAGGGTACTCCACAGTATCGCAAGGACATGTAGAGATATCTACATTCACTATGTAGCTAAATTATAATTATTATAAATAATATATTGATAAAGTATAAAAAATTAAATGTTTGTTAACATATAAAGATTTGTTTTATTTTTCTGTCTTTCACTCTTCTACCTTTTGTTAGCCAAAAAAATCTAAGCAAAATTTATGCAAGGCAAGAATATGACCAATATTTTATTTTTGATCTAAGCATTATTGGCTCAGCTTGTAGTGACTCTACTTGATGTGCCAGCAGTCGCGGGTTCGAGTCCCGCTGGGGGCATTTATTTGTGTGATGCGCACGAATGTTTGTACTCTAGTCATGGGTGTTTATATTTATAATATGTATGTATTTAAAGGTATATATGTGTATTCTATCAACTATCTGATAACACAAGCCTCGTAGCTTACCATGCAACTATATTATGCTGTGTGTTAATGTTCCAACATATTTATCATTTATTATTATTTTTTATTCGTTTTAACATAGATGTTAAATATATCTCAAAATATTAATAAATTGTTAGTTTTGTATGATAGATAAAATAATATGGAGAAAGATAAAATCATAACGGTGGTTATGCATATGTATCTATGATATGATAATAATATGGTATCTTAATAATAATAATGGGTATCTAGATTCCTCTAGGATAATCAGATATTCAGCATACTTATGTAGGTTACGTCATGATGACATACGTCAGTTAAGCACCAAATTACCCCACTAGAGTTACAATAGCTATTTTCTGTTTGATCTACTACTTGATAGTTTCGCTTATAGATAAATGAATATAATAATAAATATGTATGTAGGTATACCTAACAATGGCAAAGCTCAATTTCTCAAAATAATGTTTGCTAATATGATAATGATATATAAGATTTTTAATACAAAATTAGCTTTATAAATAAAAAAATATTTCAATTCCTATCAATATAAAGGTAAAATAATATTAGTTCTGTGCACATCCTTACATTTTTGAAGTCTAGCTGCACCCTGTGCGTCCCTGAATGCAATACATTCTAACCCATAGGAACAATTTGATATGCTATAATGAAAAGTAACTTACGTAATAGTAAAAAGTAGAAGGATACTCTATAAAATCCATAAATTATCTTTATACAGAAACACATTGGCACCCTCACTTAAACGGGACGACGGGAATCGAAGTTACAACTTGTGGAGTAATAAGATTTGCCGGTCAGACACATATGAAGTATTCATTTAACTGCACGTTACTGGAGTCATACTAGTCATCGCCAGTAAAGTAAAACTTCTTGTTTAGAAAAGCTTTTCAATTAGAAAAAAAGAAGATCGAGAAAATCTAGAATATTTCATAAAAAAATGGGTTTTTTAATGTATGTAGGTACTTACCAAAGAAAGTTTCCGTATTTGTATCCGGTTTCTATAATATGCTAAGATAAAAGCGGAGAGGTCAAACGTTAGTTCAAGTTTTTTGTAAGTGGTTCGAGCTAACAAAAACGTCAAATAATATCCTCATGGCAATCTCCGCTTTCCACCAACACACTGCTTTGCTAGTTGATCAGTGACCTCATGCTGCTTATTGTCTTAAGAAGATCGGGAAAACTATGTTATTTATATAAGCATTAACATTATTTATATAGGATTAGAACCCGCGTCCTCCAGGATTTTAAGCAATGCTAGTCAAAAAATTATACGTCACTGTATAACGACGAAAGAAAATAAATAAAATAACACGGAATTGATATAAATAAAAAGATATTTAAACTACAAACCAAAATACACATAGGAAAATTGATTTCGAATCCATCATTGAGTTTAAAATATTCATAGTTTTATACGAATTTAATAAAATGGTGATGCTGTATAAAGTAAATTATATTAAACAGCTCTACATTTTACAATTTTACTATATAGCTACGGAGCTTCGGCGCTTTTGCACATCCACAAACATTCCAGAGCATGTAAAATTATATTCATTAGCGTAGCAAATCCCTGGGACACGCAAACCGGTTCGCCGTTGTCCACTAAAGCGCCACTAGATGGCGGTAAGAGCTACGTTTACTCTTCCTTTATGCGAAGGCATTCATTCCTTGACTACAGTGTGTGTTTTGAGATGTTGTTGCATTGTTTCACACAATTTAATTTTAAATGAAAAAATTTAAATCATATATTTTAATAATTTTGTGTTATAAATGTGTGATAATATGTTGTGTATATCTATATTTATATATTTTTTTGTTAAAAATTTATATTGAAGTATGTATATACAAAACGAAATATCTTATGCACTAACACCTAGGTACCATATCATAATAGTCAAAACCGTAAAGAAAAAACCTAAAGAACCCTAAGAGTCGATTTACGTAGAAATAAAATTATAAAATTATTATTTTTATTATGTATTCAGAATATTAAAATAAGTAGTATAATATTAAGATTATTAAATTTAGATAAGTGTGTGATAAAAATAATAAAATCTTTTCACTTAACATTCGCTTTTATTGCTGGCGTACAATCACTGATTTATGTCGGAGACAAAGCGTGACAGATTGCGAAATTGTAACAAATTAGAGCGACACGACCCGCAATTATGCAAAGCGACTATAAAGTTATCTAGGAAAACAACGACACCCCACGCCAACTATTCAATTAAAATGAAACAGTGGCGAGGCGACATTCGAGTCACATAGAGGAAGGGTCGTCTCCATCGAATTAGTTCGGCGCGTGGCCACATTACTAGGACAAATTTCATCTCCCGAGGGTCCCCGGACTAGAGGGATGCAACGCTAATCTAATCTGGATTGTAGCTAATAAATGTTGTACCTAGCGATGTGGCTGCAAGAATTTATTGCTTGTAAAACTGTTTCCAATCGTAGAAATTGTTCGAATGACGCCGTACTTTCGACATGGTCTGATTGAATTTGCCATCTCACTGACTTTCTCATTTTGTTTTCGAGTAATCTCTTTTATGATGTATGATGACTTAGTATAATGTAATAAATCAAAAAGAATTACATTTGAATGCCAGAACATACGCTATGAATATGCGCCTCCGATTTCAAATATTTTTTTACTATCTATCTAAAGTTATAAGTAACTATGAAACTTTTAGACCTATATTTAATTAGTGACTATACAGTTTTTTTTGGGAGGAAAACATCGTGTGGAAACCTGCATTTCTAAGAGAACTTAGCAAGTTTTTGAAAGACATGTGAAGTCCGCCAACCCGCACTTGGCCAGTGTGGTGAACTATGGCCTGATCCCCCTCGTATTGAGGGGAGGCTCATGCCCAGCAGTGGGACGTTAAAAAGGGCTGAATACATACAATACAGTTTTTTTTTATAATTAATTATGTAATATAGATAGATTTAATGATCCATTAGTGTTGGAACTTAATATGAAGAGTTCCTCACGTGTCTAAAACAAAGTGTACGCCATGGATTATCGACAGACTCCTTGGGCAGAGGGCGTATCGCACGTAATGCCGCGTTATTGGCCACTCCGGTCATAATCCGCTTTTAACTGCGGCCCAGGCTCAGATGAACGTGCTTCGAATGTTTATACCCCAGTTTTTCTGTTCGCAAACATTCTCACTCCTTACCTTTTATGTTGAGCCGTCGACAATCTGTGTCTATATATGTACATGTCTATGTGGAATTTACCGCAGCTAACTCGTAATATTGACCTAATAGATTTATGTGACAACTATCTAGAATAATGAGCAGAGTAAGTAAGTACTTTAAACAGAGCAATGAAGAAAATGAAGAACGTAGTATTTCAATTTAATATGCACAACGTTGTTTGATTAACAAGGCATACTCGTAGTATATTATATTTCCATCGATTCTGACAATGGAATTAAAATGCCAAAGTCGCATCGTAGAACACATGCAAATACTATTAAAAACTTGGAATAAATAGTTAAGATAATAAGATAGAGATATTTACTACTACTGGGCTCCATGGGTCAATATTAGGTTTACCCTTTCAGTGACGATTTGTTCTTGATAAATTTAAGCAAATAGCATTTATTATTTAACGTTAATTTCTATAAGGCAATTAATACTAAAAAAATGCTTCCTACAATACTGCCCACATCTTTGTACACATTTAGAGGTCACATTATGTCATTAGGCATTTAGGTTCAGCCTTAGCGTTCTTGATCATGTACTGGCACTTGTGCATAGATAAAGAAATGTTTCTAAGTTTACTCGCCGAAATTCCTTCCAAATTATCACTAAAAACAGTAGGTAGAGTTACGCGCCAACATAAAACAGTTTAACGGCATAATAAGTCGCTGTCGGAGATGGTTTTTATATTTTGGTAGATACTAAACGTGCAAATAAAGTTTTATTATGTTGTAGGTAGGTGTCTACACCACGCACGAAGTCAGGGGTGGGGTAAGCAGCCGGCGCTAATGTCGTTGCTCCACACACATCCCCGCATTTCAGGAAAACTGCAAACCTAACTGGGTAATAAATTTACGTTTATT